GTGCGCGTTGTGAGAATCGTCCGGCTCGTGCAGTGTGTGGTCGGTACTGTACCATGCAGCCAAAAACCTGTAACATTTTTGTGTTGCCCAATTTTCCTGTCCACAGCAGATGAGGTGATGCGTTGTTCAGAAGCAAGGATGACGAAAGCAAGTTGTGCAACAGCACAGCGTGGTCCATCGCCTCAGGCCACTGTTGATTGGGTAGCCGCATGCCATGTAGTAGCTTGCGCATGGTGTTCTGTAGGGTCCTGTTCATTCTTTCTGCCACGCCTTGCTGCTGATGAGCGTAGGGAAGAGAGATGAGTCACTTCATGCCCCTCTCCGCCAGGTACTGCTTGAACCGCTGTGACTGATATTTTCCTCCCCCGCCTGACTGGAAACTTTTCAGCTTCACTCCTGATTCCCTTTCTGCTACTGGAAGCCATGTGACGAAGGCTTCGAAGGCCATGTCACGACTCAGAAGATTAAGGTGCCAGACGTATCTAGTGGGGCGTCCATGAAGGTGATGACATAGTTGTAGGCTCCTTGTCCGCTTTCGCGAGTGTATAGTATGTCGCTGTAAACCTTCTCCAGTGGTGCATAGACTGGCGCGCTTGAGTTGTGATGAGAGACAAATGGCTGATGGGGTAAGTCGGCTTCAGGGCAGGTAAAGCAGGTTCCGCGGACTCGTTGAAGTTCTCTGCCGTCGGGTAAAAGTAGTGAGTCTTTATCGAGCACTCCTGCTCTTATCGTGTTGTTCAGTGTTGTGTTGCTGGGGTGCCCTAACCGTTGATGCCATAATGATTCGTCAGCGCAATGTCCAGGTGAACGTCTGCACATTTCGGAGCTGGAGTAAAAACCGGCAGTGATGTCGGTGCTTGGGTGAACGTTGCGTGGGACGGGAGTCAGCTGTTGAGCGCGCGTTGGTGCTGGTGTCGTTGTCTCTGCTTCTGCCGATGTTGACGCTGCTGCTCCCGTTGTCGCTGCTACTGCCGTTCCCGCTGCTGCTGCCGTTCCCGCTGCTGCTGCCGTTCCCGCTGCTGCTGCCGTCTCTGCTGCTGCTGTCTCTACTGCTGCTGTCTCTGCTGCAGCCGTTGTTGATGCTTCTCTCGATGTCTCTTGGATCACTGCTAACGCTCTTGTTCGTTCTGCTTCAGGTATGGTGTGCGAGTACCAGAATCCTCCGAGGCTGAAATTGGGGTCGAGATCTGGCGGGTGCAACCAAGTGGTGAAGTTGACGATCGTGTCGCTGTCAGCGGTGCCTTGATCCAGGACGAAGTCGAGGACGAAGACGTTGTTCTTCAGGACCGCTCTTCCGATGTAAAGTCCGCCCTTGCCATTGTATAGCTTAAACTCCTGAGTGGTGCTGTCGGCTTCGAGGTGGATTCCTTTCGCCATGAGTTGACTGACGCTGAGAAAGTTGTAACCAAGTCCTTCTGCAATCAAAACTTTTGACATCTGCAGGATAACGTTAGTTTCGCGAGATTGAAGTTGAACTACCCCTTGTCGTCGTGTGCGCAGGTTCTGGTTGTTGGCGACGGTGATTACAACTTCGCGGTTGAGGTGTTGTTCTCGTTGAACGAAGCATCCCGAAGAGCACATATGTTGTCCGCAGCAGCTATCCAAGAACCAAGTGTCTTTTCCGGATGGTTCGCTTTGAGCGATGGCTGCGTACGTCGGATTCGGCTCCAGTGATTCGCGACGAGGCGTTCTTTCGTCGAGCTGTTCTTTGAGTGAGTAGGTCGGTGGTGAACCGGTGATGTAGGAGTCCTTGTTCTTGTTATACAGCTTATGATATTTCTTGTTCCTCTTGTAGGTTGTGATGTTGTCATTGGAGACGACGCCTGGTTGGAAGGATGCTGTTGTGTGGAAGCCACTTGGCTATTTGAAGGTAGAAGCTGACGTGGTGGTGGTGTTGATTGCTGTTGATTCGGGCAGTGGACACGAGAGTGCCCTGACGTTTTACAGAGGTGACAGAACGGTGGTACGTATGTTCGTGCTTGGTGCTCGTATTGTCAGTTGTTGTTGTTGTTGCGCCGCTGAGTGTAAAATGCGAACTCTGGTACTGATGCCCTTTTCTTGTGACGTTCTTCGTGCAGGTCCATGTCTTGTTGCTCGGCGTGGATTTCAGTGCAGAGGGCTGCTTTGGAGATTCTTCCGTGGGATCGGAGAATGGCTCGGGTGGAGCGCCACTGAGGGCCAAGACCAGTGATGACGACAGTGACGAATGCTTCTTCGGATATTGATCCGCCGCATCGAATGAGTCTATCGCGCAGACCGCGACAACGACTGATACATGCCATCCCCTTTTCGCCGGGTTGCATTTGCACCGTTGTTAATTGTGCCATGAGATGACTCTGATTAACACTGTCGGTTGCCTGATACAGGTTCTTCAGATGGTTGTACGCGAGCTCGGCGGAGTTGCCGTATCCGCGATAAGATCGGATGTTATGCTGCTCATTTGCCGTTATGTTGCGCAGGAGTATGGTGTATGCCATTAGTGACTGATACGTATACTGTTGCTTGTCGTACTGCGTTCCGTGTGTTGGCAAGGAACCGTCGAAGAAGCCAAGGATTTGAGCGTCCTCCATCATCAGCTCAAACTCAAAAGACCAGGTGTAAAAGTATTTGCCGTCGAATGGTGTTGACGTTTGTAATTTCAGAACGTGTGCAAACTGCGACTTCAGCTGAAGTGCGTCCAGTGTCTTTGTTTCTTGTCCAGGTGGGAGTCAATTCGGCATGAATCTGACAGAGCAGCGTTGAGGCTCATACGGTGCGAAGGTAGGTTGCTGATTTCCGCGCACAAATGATGAACCGTCAAGGCTCATGGGAGTGACTCCGTTGTTGTTTCGTTGTTGTTTGACTGCGCAGGTGCTACTTGTTGGTGTTGCTCCTAGAACGACATGAAGGAGAAGAACTTCTCCATCATGCTTGGGTCGAAGCCGGTAGCTTGACTGGCTGGAGTTTCAGTAAGCTCAGCTGCTGGTCCTTGGGTTGTGCCTCTCTCTGTCTGTAATCCAGAGGCTGGTGGTGGAGTGGGAGTGTTACTGGGAGATTTAGTAGACGAGCTTCTCTGTTTCTACGTAGCCATGCCTCCTGTTGTTGTAGGGGCTTGAACAGAGTTTTCTTTTGTCTTGACAGCTCTCATACCATGTTGGGCTGAGAAAAGCCCTTAGGATCGTTTTCAAGACTAAAATATCAGAGTAGTGATGTATTAGCGGAAGCGTAATAGTGAACTGATTGAACCACCTTGCACTGGTATGGGAGAACAAGATAAGTTGATAATAGCAAAGGGATACAAGCCTTTATATGATTACAAGGAATACGAAAGGTTCAACTAACTGTAACTGCTGTTGCGGTTCGATACAGCGACAACTCGGGTAATTGCTCAGTATCGAGTCAGTTATGTCTCCTTGCTGTCGCGCTACAATGGCTATCTGCTGTTGTCTTTCTGTCAACCGCTTTGGTTGACTCGTTGTTGCTTCGCTACAGTTTGCTTCACTTTTGTTGTAGTGCTCGACACATCAAAAACGCGAACTATATGTTTCCAATAGATGTTTTCGTTGTTTGATATGTAAAACACGATGGAATGGAATCCATGCCATTGTAGCTATCGCTTATATTAGCCTTGCGTGGTAGTTCCACGAGGTTAAGATAGGTGTTGTCCAGCAGATAGCCTGAAACTCTTGTTAAGTGCGTTTAGGTTCCCTCTATGAGCACTAAAGATATAACGCTATGTAGAGCTTAAAAGCGCGGCTTCGGCTGATAACTTCAAACCCGTTATCATGCAAGAAATTAGGGTGGTGGGTACAAATTATACTGGTTAAATAGGGTCTGCTTATGATTTCTTTGACCTGGGAGCAGGTAGGGCACGGGGCGTTGCTAGGATCTGACCTGCGAGTTCAGGATAAAGGTCTGCATATGGCCTGAAACTACAGAATGGCCTACCTATTCTGCTCTGAAAAATCAGGCCATTTCTGAGATTCTGAAGAGCTGACTGAGGCTTCAGGAGGATGTCCTACATCCTAGCCTTGGAATAGACTAATACGATGCAGCAGCCTCCCACATTCCGTGAATGGAACTCCACTTACGCAGAAATAACAGTGGTTAAAGAGAATGGACGATACGCCAAAACCATGCACGGGATGCCTTGCAAAGCACACACCCAGATAAGACATATGTGACTACTAGTCATCAACATGGCACGGGTGAAACTTGGCTAAGGCATTCATTCATGTGTGGGCCAACACAACCAACATCATGTCCACAGTTGCCTGAGACTAGGATAGGGCATGGCATGGCATGGCATGGCACACAGCGCACACACCCCAGCATGGGTATTTGGTTGTAGCCCACAATGCACCATAAGGATCAAGGTGCAGTGCAATGCGGGTCAAGGAACAGTGATTCTTCTAACAATCGATTGCCACGATCGGAAGACAAGCTATGAGCTTTGTAGCATCACAAGAAACTAATCTCACCGGATACACAAACAGATATAAGTGGAGGCAATAGCAGCAGATTCGTATAGAGCAGAGCAACAATAGTAAGCATGAACCCACCCCACCACACCCTGTCTCACCCCACCCCACCCCAGCAACCAGCGATTGTACCTGATTGAGACGAAAGCAGGTAGAGGGGCAAAGCAACTGCTCGGTGCGCTTCCACTATACGCTCCACAGCAGCGCCAGACGCTGAAGCTAATAACGAGGGCGCCAATGATGAGGACGAGGATGACAGATGGGAGAAGGAAAAAGAGGAGGTGGGGTTGGGGAGAGAAGGGGCGGAGGAGAGGAAGAGGGCAGCGAGGAGAGGATGGTGGAGCAGGGAGAGTAAGTCTGCTGCCTGGTCGCAGAAAGAGGGGTGCAGGTGGGTACATGAGCAAACCACTTGGTGGGAGGTGGGTATATGGGAGAGGGGAGGGAGGGAGAAGAGAGCGAGAAAAAATGGTGGGAGGAGGAGGAAAAAGGGAGGGAAACAAGAGAAATACAAAGAGGGTGACAGAGGAAGGGCATTGGACCTCAGGTAAGTCTGAAACAATACCACCTCAGGAAAGCAAAGGGATCCCCATTTTCCAGAGACCAGCCGAACGGAAAATCAACTGTGTATGGAAGAAGCAATTGACACACCTTGGTGACGCGGTCCAGATGGAACAGCATAATGGCACCAATGACATGTGCAACAATAGTGTGTCATTGTTTCTTCCAAACACTGTGAACAACAGTGAATTTGTGAGACACATGCACACGAGCGCGCGCTCGCACCCACATCCAAATCCACAAAATCCACACCCACACACGCATGCACATTCCCCCTCCCCCCACTCCCCACCCCCAACCCCCCTTCCTTCCCACTCTCTCCCCTCTCCACACACACGTTGGAGAGGCAGACGCGTGCGCGAGTGCGCAGGTCAGTCTCTGCAGCAGCGAGCTTGGCAATGGCTCCCACATCAGCGGACAGCAGGCGAGAGCGTGCCAATGGCGCCCCCACTGCTGCTGCTCCTCCCGACATGCCGCCCACGCTGCTGTCCGCTCCCAGCCTGATCGAGGGAGAGGAGGGGCAGAGGAGGGAGGGCAAAAGGGGGTGGAATGAATTGGAGTGAAGAATGTGATGTTGGTATGGCTGGGCCATGGTAACGTTTGAGTCGAGACAAAGGTCGGGATGAGGGGTGGGGAGGACTGAGATGGAGAGACGAGTGTGATGTTGCTGCTAGGGCAGAGGTTTGTAAGATAGCCATCTGCTGTGGCGGGTCGAATTTGAGAATTCTCATGACCGACCTGTTGTGGCCTCTGGCCTCTAACTGTGCCTACCTATGGGTGGAGGGCGAGAAGGAAAGAGCAGGGAGGGGAAGTTGAGATGGAGGAGGAGATGGAGAGCACAAGGAGTGTGGTGCTACTTGCTGGGGGCTCAGGCACGTGGGGGCAGAGTGGCACACCTTGTGCGTGCATATGGTAGGAGTAGGTGCGATCGCTGAGCACAAAGCATGGCATGTTACAGAGGACGTGTATCGCCCATTTGGCAGATGCTGTGAAATGGGCAGATGGTGACTCACTCACTTGCCAGTGGCGATGGACATGGACTTAACAACAGCAGCTCCACCACTTCAAAGAGAGACGGTTTTTAAGAGAGACTGTCTCAAATGTGCCATATTACAGAGCATGTGTATGACTGACTAATTGTCCGGACTCATGAGCTTTGACTCACTTGGCTGTGGCAGTGGCGATGGGCATGGGCTCAAACAGCAGCAGCAGCAGCAGCAGCAGCAGCTCCACCTTTGCGAACCCAAAGAGAACCAGTCTTTGAGGTGTCTCAAATATGGCTTATTACATACCACATGTATGACCTGCGTTATCTGTCAAGAAGGACTCAGGAGCTTCCACTCACTTGGCAGTGGCGATGGACTCAAACAGCAGCAGCTCCACCGCTTCAAAGAGAGACTCTGCTGCTGCTCCCGGCCGTTGCTGCCCCTGCCCCTGCCCCTGCCCCTCAGCGCCATCCCCCACACCCCTCCCTGCCATGCCTGCGCTACCACCACCGCTGCTGCTGGTGTCAATTCTGGTGCTGCCGCCACTGCCACCGCCGCCACTGCTGGTGGTGGTGGTGGTGATTGTGGTAGGTGTTGTTGCTGTGGCGAGGGTGGAGACAGCTGAGGCATAGTCACCAGAGAGCCAGCGCAGGTGGAGAACCAATGTGTGCTGCCAGGAGGCAGGGGGACAGGGAGGGCAAGGGAGCCAAGAGGGCACGGGGGCAGGACAGGCAGAGGGGGCAGGGGGGGCAGAGCGGCAGAAGGGCAGGAGGGGGAGGGGGCAGGGGGGACATGTGCAGGGGAACAAGGGTTGAAGGGGGGGGATGTTAAAGTTATATTTAATATCTATCCTGCTTGCTGTAGTTATTGTAGTGTAGTTCGTTAATTGCTTGGTTGGTGGTGCACCTTTGCTAGTTTACTATATTTACCTTGTGTGCTATAGTGAACACATCTCATTCTCACTTTCCCTTGGCACGAACTCTCTCGACATACGTTGGCCTAGGCTACTAAGCCTAGGTCTTAAACCTTACGCTAGTACGTTGACATGGTATTGAGCTTGTAAGATCCTGACCTAAGTTAATGGGCCCACCCAATCGCGGCACGGCGCTCGTTGCGACGGGCGCGGCAGCGAGCTGGCCGCGTTTCCCTCGTCGCCAGCCCGTTGCTTTTTCCCTTGTCACTCGTCGCTAAATCCGCCGTGACGCTCGCGATCGTCACGATGGCGAGACCCGTTCCCCCCATCGTCCCCGTCGCAGTCCTCGTCGAAGTCCCCGTCGCGGCTCACCATCGCGCTGCTGTTGCGGCCCTTCGTCTTGCTCGTTGCAACACTCAGCGAGCCCACATCCCCGCCGCTCGTCGCCACAACCCCGTCGTTCGTAGCCACATCCGCGCCACCCGTCGTCACCTCCTCGTCGCCCGTGGTCAGCGCTCCGCCGCCCGTCGTCAGATCCACGCCGCCCGTTGCGCACCAGCAGATTTCCCCGCCCGCCCTCCTGTTGGCCCCTATGCTACTGCAGCGGCTGCACATTCCGCGACTGCAGCTTCCTGCGCTTCCCTGTCGCCTCGAAGGGAATGGCGGCGGAACGCCAGCTACAACGCTAGCTACAACGCCAGCAACACCGCCAGCAGAGACCCCCGCCAGCAGAGACCCCCGCCAGCAGAGACCCCGCCAGCAGAGACCCCGCCACGCCAGCAGAGACCCTCGCCAGCAGAGCCCCTGCCAGAAGAGACCCCCGCTAGCAGAGACCTCGCCAGCAGAGACCCCGCCATGCCAGCAGAGACCCCCGCCAGCAGAGCCCCCGCCAGCAGAGACCCCCGCCAGCAGAGACCCCGCCAGTAGAGACCCCGCCACGCCAGCAGAGACCCCCGCCAGCAGATACCCCCGCCAGCAGAGACCCCGCCAGCAGAGCCCACGCCAGCAGAGACCCCCCGCCAGCAGGACCCCCGCCAGCAGAGACCCCGCCAGCACAGACCCCGCCAGCAGAGACCCCGCCAACAGAGACCCCCGCCAGCAGATACCCCCGCCAGCAGAGACCCCCACCAGCGGAGACCCCCGCCAGCAAAGACCCCGCCAGCAGAGCCCCCGCCAGCAGAGACCCCCGCCAGCAGAGACCCCGCCAGCAGAGACCCCCGCCAGCAGATACCCCACCAGCAGATATCCCGCAAGCAGCTACACCGCCAGCAGAGACCCCGCTGCAGGGACTACCGTGGGCGGGGCAGGGGTGTGGAGGAAGAAAGGGGGGCCGGGGTGAGGTTCTAAGGGGCGGCTGAACAGGGGAGTGAGGTTAAGGGGGGGTGGTTGAAAGGGGGTGGGGACTTGGGGGTTACTAAGAAAGGTTTCGCCACTGGTGGCTCCCCCTCACCTCCTCTCCTCATCCCACTCTCACCTCTCCCTTTGTAAAAGGGGGTTAGTAAGAGGGGTTTGCCACGGGCGGCTCCCCCTCACCTCCTCTCCTCATCCCTCTCTCACCTCCTCCTTGGTACCTCTCCCCTCTCCTCTCCTTCTCTTCCTTTCGCCTCCTCCTCCTCATTTAACTCTCTGCCGTCTTCCACTGCGCCAGGTGTACCCCTTCAGGGGATGCTGGCTGCACTAGTTATTACTGCAAGCAAACTAAAAGGGTGTGTTAAAGTTATATTTAATATCTATCCTGCTTGCTGTAGTTATTGTAGTGTAGTTCGTTAATTGCTTGGTTGGTGGTGCACCTTTGCTAGTTTACTATATGTACCTTATGTGCTATAGTAAACACATCTCATTCTCACTTTCCCTTGGAACGAACTCTCTCGACATACGTTGGCCTAGGCTACTAAGCCTAGGTCTTAAACCTTACGCTAGTACGTTGACAGGGGAAACATCAGAGGGGCATAAGCCAATCACTTGTGAGTTGTGCAAGTCGTGCGAGTTGTGCGAGTCGTGCGTTGTGACTGCTACACTGCTGTGGCATCACCACAGCACATAGGATTTCAAGTCAAGGCACGCCACTCGCGTACCGAGAGAATGAGAGCAGCACGCCGTGATGGCGAGCAAATACGTCGCAATCAAGCAACACACTCGAGCAACACCTCCAGCGATAGGGGTTAAAGAACCTAACGGTTAAAAACGATGTCATCAAAGACTTTTCCTGTTCCTCTGTCAAAGCTACAGGACTTGCTGTAGTACCTGGGCCACGGATGTGATTGGAGCAGTGATGATACAAACTATGGTGGGCTGGCATGGATAGGAGGAACGGGGGGAGGTGCGGCCACCACAGGGATAGGGGAGAAAGGAGAAACGGAGTAAGAAGGGACGTAGGGAAGGGTGGAAGGGGGGAGTGGGAAAGGGGGGAACGGGGCGAGGGGAGAAAAGGGCAAGGGGAGAAGGGGGCATGGAGGGCAGGGGAAGATTTTAAAGGCATTTCAAAGGTAGTCCATGGGCGAGGATGAAGGGAGAAGGAGGAGGGGAGGAGGAGGGGAGGAGGAGGGGAGGAGGAGGGGAGGAGGAGGGGAGGAGGGGAGGAGGGGAGGAGGAGAGGAGGAGACGTGGAGCAGGGTGAGGGAGTGGGATTGATAAGAAGAGTGTGCGCGTCAAGTTTGGCATGTGTGGTAGGAGCTACGTCTTTCGCAATAACCCATGGGAAAGCATGGCATGTGGTTGGCTCAAGGGATGTGGCAGTGCATTACCGATTGATTGGTAGTGATTACCTGAACCGCGAGCAGCAGTGCGGGGCAGAGTCTGAAGAGCACGAGCACGGTGTGCAGGCACTGCTGCTGCACCTGTGGGGCATGCACACAGCGGAGGGAAGGTTGGAGGGAGCGATGAGCAGATTTTTCTGTCGATTTAAACACGAGCGTGGTGTGAAACTACAACTGCCGCACCTGCATGGAACACGTCACAGCGTGCAATGAGGAGATGATTTAGTTGACTCGGTAGATCAAGAGTGAGCATGGTGTGTGCGTGGAGGCACAGCTGCTGCACTGCACCTGTGAAGCAGAGGGGAAGGGACAGCGGAAGGGAGGTGGGAGGGAGGGTTGGGGGAGGGAAGAAAGAAGCGCAGCAGAAGAGGTGGAAGGTGAGAATGGGAAGACTGGACTTCTCCAACTCCCCTCCCTCCTCCCCCAACCCCTCTCTCACCCCTCCCTCCTCCCCCAACCCCTCTCTCCCACCTCCCTCTCTGCAACTTAGACAAGCTTCTTTCTTACAACTGTTTCCACTCGAAGAGCGCATCGGGTCGACAATTGACAACCGATGCTTTCAACCTGACCAGAACCGAGTTTGGCGCATGCTGTGGCCTATCTCTGGGGAAGAGTGTGTTCCGGGATGGCTCATAGCTAGCTCCTCTTCCTAGCGCACCTGCAGGCAGCATTAGAGCTTCACCTTTTAGAGTCCTCACGAGTGAGCTCAGGCGGCGCACCGGATGCTGGAGCTGTTAGTAGCAGTTTTGAGGATTCTCAAAGGTGGGCTGCGGAGGTCTTGCTTCCATCAACTCGTGCTTTTGTCAAGAGTGAGGAGCTTAGGCGCACCTGGTGCTGGTAGGTGGCGTTGGGGAAGAGCGCATCGAAGCGGCTCATCAATACTGGCAGCAACGCCCGCCACTCATCTGCACTTGCCGTGCCAACGGTGAGCAACGAGAGAGGAGATCAATGAGAGGCGAGAGGCGGACAGGGAGGCAGCGAGGCAGGGAGGCAGGGAGGCACACAGGGATGAAAGGAGGGAGAGAAGGATTAACGAGGAAGGGAGACCATCCATCCAATCCCTTGTTTTTCTCATGAACACCAGCACTCAATCTCTTACCAACTAATTCGCCCCCCACCTTGACTACAATGACTCCCCTTTCACCGCCCTGAATCGTCCCCTTCTCACCTTCTCACCTTCTCTCCTTGCCCCATGCCCGTTACGACCGTCTCCAGGAGTGCACCTAGCAGATGCGTGCCATGGTAAGGCACTCCTCTCTACCCACACTCCTGTCAACTCTAAACCCCTTCTTCACCTTCCCCCAACTCACCCCCCCTCACCCTACCCCATGTATGCTAAATCTGACTCCAGAAGAGCATCCAGCAGGTGAGGCACCATCGCAATGCACCCCTCCAAACCCACTCCTTCCAACTCCATCCTTTCCAAGTAATCTCCTCCTCACCTTGCCGCACACCTGTTAAGACGGTCTCCGACAAAGCATCCACCAGGTGGGGCGCCACAGCAAGGTACTCCTACACCCAAACTCCCTACAACTCCAACCCTCCCAAACCCTAAGCCTCTCACTTCGCCTTGCCCCATGCCTGTTAAGACCGACTCCAGAAGAGCACCCAGCAGTTGAGGCGATGGCAAGGCACTCTTGCAGCCACACTCCCTGCAACTCCAACCTTCCCAAACCCTAAACCTCTCACCTTGCCCCATGCCTGTTAGGACCGTCTCTAGAAGAGCATCCAGCAGGTGAGGCGGCATGGCAAGGCACTCCTGCAACCGCCTCTCATTCTCCCGCCCTTCTTCACTCAGCCCCTCACTCCACCCATCCGCTGCCGCTACTGCCGCCGCCGCCACTGCTGCTGCTGCTGGTGTTATTCCTGCTGCTCTGCCACTGCTGATGGCGTTCGTGTAGGTGGTGCTGATGTTACAGTTGCTCGAGACGCAGTTACAGGGGAGCCTAGGCTAGTTCCACCACCCTCCCCTCCTACTCCTCCTCCTGCTCCTCCTCCTCCTCATTCTCCTGCTACATCCTTCCTTGCAGGGCTCCCTCCTTTCTCTGTGCCTCTCCCAACAAACCCATCACTGCCACCCCCACCGCCGCCAACACCACCACCAACACCACCACCCCCTACACTCCCCCACCGCCCCTCCCCCTCCCCCTGCGCCCTCCCTCCCTCTCCCCCTGCCTCTCTCCCTCCCCCGTAAACTCTTCGTTGCCTTTCACCCCACTCACCCCCATCACCCCCATCATCTCTGTCCGCGTTATGAGCAGGCCCGGCTGGTCTGTCTACGGGCTTCAGTGAGCAGGGCTTGGGAGAATCCCGGCAGGCGCCACATCACCGCCTCTTGCTGCCTGCGTGACCCCACCTGGTGGCCATAAAGGCAGGAGAGCAGGATGGCAGCAGAACGGTTTGTGACTGTAGAAGTTTAACTAAGTATGCTTTTGAGGAGATTGACAAAAAACACCACGTACATATCCCGCACACGCCCTCACTTCACTCTCGGAAATACATCCCTCGATCCACTATGTAACGAATCATCCAATCTCATTCTCCCCTTAGAAACCATGAACGCTATTGCCTTGAGCCTCCGCCTTTAAGGCTAGTCTCTCTCCCCTCACCCTTCTCCAAATACCATCTCAAACATTCACCTCGGCCTCGCCTGCAGCCAGCTCATCTATGAGCAACCACGATATCAGCACCGCCAGCGCCACCGGCGCCACCTGTTGAGTTGACTCAAAAGGCCTGCCATCTCGCACTTTCCTCCTCCCCTACCAAATACCATCTCACACACTCAACTCGGCCTCCCCTGCAGCCATGTCATCTATATGCATCCACGATATCAGCACCGCTAGTGCCGCCGGCGCCATTCCCCCATCCGCCCTCCCTACACCCATCCCCCCCACCCCAGTTCCCCCATCCCAGTTCCCCCACCCCCAAACCCCCATGGTTTCTTCCCCCCTGAGCCCTTCCCCCCTCCACCACCAGCAGCAGCGGCGCCCTCAGAACCAGCAGCACCCGCACCATTGCCGCCACCAATACCACACCAACCCCAACAGCAGCAGCGCCAGCAGAAGCATCGGCAGCAGTAGTGGAAGAGGCAGTTTTTGGTAGTGGCTTGCTTGGAGGCAGTTTAGGGTCACTCTCGCTGTCGTTGTCTGCTGTACTTGTGAAGCCAAAGTCCATCAGTGCTAGCACGTCCTGGCCATGCATGGAGGGGGACGATAGGAGGAGGGGGAAGTGGGGGAGAGGAGTTGGGGAGAAGTTGGGGAAAGGGGAAGTGGGGTTTGGCTCTCTCTCACTGTCGTTGTCTGCTGTGCCTGTGAAGCCAAAGTCCATCAGCGCTAGCACGTCCTGGTGATGCAGGGGGGGAGAAGGATGGCAGAGCGATGCATGGTTGGGATGACAGGGAGAAGCGGGAGGTGGGGAGGGGAGATGGGGAGAAGTAGGGGAAAGGGGAAGTTGAGGGCAAAAAGGCTCGGGTTGCCTGAAAAAACATCACACTCAGAGATTTAATCCGGAAAGATCAGGACGGGAGCAGAGCATTGAAGGATGAAGCAACGCTCAGCAAAGAGCTGGGCAGAAAAGAGACGAGGAGATGGGCGCTGAAAGCGTTTGAGGCGACACCTGCAGAATGGAAGGAAAAAATGCTCAAAAGACTCAGGGCAGAGGAGCTGTTCGAATCCACCAAGATCATCAGCATGAACTCTTATCGACCGGGAGAAAAAAATACTAAATATTGGAGTACGTGAAGGAAGGGAGGCTCTTTGGGAGAAAGGTAATGGCTGAATAAGGAGGGAGGATATGCGCAGTGGAGTTTGACAGTATTGTGGATCCCTCGCGTGAATCCCCCGCCAGGCTGGCGCGGGGCGGGGCTCTGCCCACGACCCCCGCCCCGCCCCCCCACCCCGAATTCCTACAGAACCCCACATTACAACCAATGGGTGGCGAACTGGTGCGCGAGCGACGAGGGGCCTAGTAACCCCTTCACGGAGGCGGACATTCGCTTCGCGTTGCCCGCGACGCCCTAGTAACCCTCTCGGGCTGCCCTCGCCGAGCAGGAGGGTTGGATGCGAAATTCACAGGGCCCGGCCCCACCCTCGTCAACATCGCTGGCCCCTCGGGAGGGGACACGTGGCTCGCTCTCGCCACCCCGACCACCCCCATGCACGGCCTACACAAACCCACCCCCCCCCCCCCCCCCGAACCCCCTCCTCGAGGGCAGGCCCGGTTCGGGCCGAAACCGGAGGCTCGCCCTCGGCCACGACCTGCTTCTTCCCTAAGCGGCAGAGTGGGCGACCTGCAGCCCACGCCCATTTCATGATGGGGAGTCTGATTCCATCCATCATTTCTCCGTTCCAACTTTGCTTTCCGATTTTCTCTGCCTCCCTGTCAGCTCTCCGCGTTCCTCCCCTTTGGTCCTGGGTTCTCTCATCCCTGTCGTGGCGAACGGTAGGATAGAGCTGGCTGCGGCCGACTTCCCCCTCTACGTGCCTGTGGGCAGCGCTGGGTACATAGTGACGGTTGAGATGAAGGACTATGAAGTCCTTCGCGATGAGAAGGCCGAGTTCACAGAACCTTGCTTTGACCTCGGCCTCGCGTGAGCACACATCCCTATTTCCTTGTTCCTTAAAGGGTTCAGTGTGTTTACGTCGGCATCGTTTCTAGGTCGACGTTGGCCTCGTCGGCTCCCCGCGTGGTCGACGATGTCCGTCCATGATGGTCGTCGTAGCGCTTGGTCGTCTTATTAACTAGTTTGCTGGTCGTCGAACATGGACCCTTCATCGGCGACGTCGGTCTTGCTGCCGGCGACGTCGCCGTCGTGCGAACCCTTCGTCCGATTCCGCTTGTCTTGCTGTCGGCTGTATACCCCGGCGCCCGGCATGGATTGTAGCTCACCTTGCAAGTGTTTCGCTCTCGCCTTTTTGCCCCTGCTTCTCCCAGGTACGAGCTCGATCGCCCCGGAAAAGCCGGCAGGATGGCCCTGATGTGTGCTGCGAGTCTTCGCGCCGCTAGGACGGCTTCGAAGCCGAACTATCTGATTTTCAAGACGGCCTTCGACTTCGAAGCCCTCGCCATTCCCTTGTGCACCGCGTGAGTGTTCCGCGCCTGTGAGGTTTGATCCTCGCCGACCGCGTTGCTTGTTCTTCCTGGACAGAACCCTGAATGTCTTCGTCATGCCTCTGGTGTGTGCAGGGGCAGACCTCTTCCCGGCAGGCACTGCAGCATCCTGCTTGTTGTGCGCCCTGGCGACCTGCTTTTGCCCGATGAGGAGCAGATCGAGACCTTATACCGCCACCTCGACCCCAATACCTCCTCCAAGCTGCACGAGGAGGAGGCGGCCAAGGTTTTGAGGTGGGACAACGTCGCTGGCTAGTCGCGCTGCTCCTTAACGGCGATTATGCCGCCGTGTCTGATGGCTCTTTTCCGTCTCGTACGTGCGCAGACTTTTCGGCGAAGTCGTGAAGGCGGAGTTAAGCCGTGAGGGAAGGAAGTGGACGGTAAGGCTCCTTCCGCCAAAGTCCTCTCCCCTCGTCTGGAGAGTCTTGCCGCCCCCATCCGTGATGTGAGTTTCCGACTTCGATGTCGCCTTATCGCCTGGGCTATCGTCGTTGAGCCGTGGACTCACCCTTATCGTCGTCGATATGTGCTTTGGATGTTGATGCAGAAATTGCCCGACATCCTCAGGCAGGAGGTCGCCGGCACGGGGCTGCTGTCAGTCAACGTGCTCACATGGTCGTTGGACCATATGGATGACGTGCATCGCAGCTACGACCCGCTCATCGTCGAGAGCTCGAAGCTGGTCGGCGTGAAGGTGCTCCGACTGGAGTTGGTGAGGGTCCTGGAGATGGCCGCGCTGAACACACGGGAAGCGTCAACCGTAGGTCGTGGCGTCGGAATCGGCATCGCTCTAGGTGGGGAGGCTGAGGAGGCTGCGGCGGGGTCGCACTCTGGCGGGCACGAACCCACAGATGGCGGCGAGGAGGAGCACGAGGGGGAGGACGAGGAGGGGGGCGGGGAGTAGGACGGTGGCTCAGACGAGGAGGAGGAGGACGAGGAGCGTGAGGACGATGACGTGATGGTCACCGGTGAAGAGGAGGCAGTACAGTTCGCCGGTGAGAAGGTTGCGGATAAGAGTGGTGGCAGCGGACCCAAGTCGGGCAAGAAGGCGCGGGGGAGCGTCGGCTCGACCACGACTAGGATGGCGTCAAAGGCGGCTATTGTGCATCTGAAGGCGGCGGAGAGGGAGAACAAGAAGCTGAGGGAGGAGAAGCTGGTGGCGGAGAAGAGGCTGGAGTACCAGATGGCCCGGATGGATATGCTATTCGGCGTGGTCAACTCGGCCGCGAACAAGCTCACGACGGTCGCCGACCGCGTGGCCTCTCACGAGCAGACGTCGGGGAGGAGCCTCAAAACGGCGGTGGACGCTATGAGGGAGGTTGTACAGGAGGCGGTGAACTATCGCGGCTCCCTCGTAGAATTCAAGATCACGAAGTGGCTGCCCATCGAACAGGCCTTGCACTTGACGGCTGCTGCTGTGAACAGTAGGCGATGGGAAGACAACGTCCTGCTGTTGCGAGGTGTGGCAGATGCTCTGGGCGAGAAGATCAAAACCGTCGTGTCTGCCGATGTGAAGGCCGCCATGGAGAGCGAGGCCCAGGGAATCGCCGCCGCCGTGACTGCGAAAGTCGTTCAAGAGCTTAGGGACGACCTGGTGAAGGTGGTCACCTCCACGACCCAATAGGGCCTTAGTACCGCCGGGTTTAGCCTCCTCCCAACTACTCTCGTGTCGGTGATGCACGGCGGTCGCTCAACCGCTGAAGAGCATGGGCCGGCGCCAAGGCAGTGCGGGAAAAGGGTCGCCGACGAAAGATCCCTGACCTGCGAGCAGACCAGCAGCACTAAGCACAGCAGAGGACCTGCGGTGAAACACGGTGTGGCCGTGGAACTTCCTGCCGCTCCGTATGTTCGGGTCTCTGGCGTCCACGAATTGCTGAAAGAGAGACTTGGCACGCGACCGAGCGATTTTTGACAGGTCGACGACGTGCTCTAGGATCCAGCTTCGGTGGTCGGGAAGACCGGCGGGCAGCCCGTGGGGGACCAGCAGCTAAAGGCTGCGACCAATCCGCCGAGCGCACAGGACACGCCACCGAGCTGCGGCCAGGCGAATCTGGCCGACGAGCTCCCGGGAGGGGCATCCGTGGTCGGGAAGCAGGGCTGGCAGCCATTGGCGGACCAGAATCCGCAGCCCGAGGCCAGTCCGGCGACTGCACAAGGCGCTCGACCGAGCGGCGGCACGGCGCAGATGGCCGACGAGCTCTTGCACCTCGCAGTGGTGGTCGGCTAGCAGGGCGGGGAGCCCGTTGCGGGCCAGGATGTTCAACCCTCGACGAGTACGGCGACTACGCGACCGACCGATGTCACAGCGCAGCTGGCCGACGACCTCCTGCGCCCCGCAGCGGTGGTCGGCGAGCAGGGCGTGGAGCCAATTGCGGGCCAGCATCTTCACCCCTCGGCGAGCACGGCGACTGCACATGATGCGCGACCAGGTGGCGTCACGGCGTTACTGGCCGACGAGCTGTTGCGCCCCGCAGTGGTGGTCGGCCAGCAGGGCGGACAGCCCGTTGCGAGCCAGCATCTTCACCCGTCGATGAGCACGGTGACTGCACAATACGCGCGACCGGGTGGCGTCACGGCGATCATGGTCGACGAGCTCTTGCGCCCAGCAGTGGTGGTCAGACAGCATGTCGAGCCGGCCGGGGCAGGCCAGCATCCCCACACCGCGACGATAACGGCAAGTGCCAGTAGTGCGCGACCGGGTGGCGTCACAGCACGGCTGGCCAACGAGCTCTTGCGCCCAGCAGCGGTGGTCGGACATCATGTCGAGCAGGCCGGGGCGGGCCAGCATCCCCACACTGCGATGATAACGGCGAGTGCCAGTAGCGCGCGACCGTGTGGCATCACGGCACGGCTCGCTGCCCCGAGCAGCGAGCGACAGGCGTCCTACCCAACGGCGTGGTCGAGGCTGCCACATTGGTGATTGTGTCGTCGACGGTACCAGCGCCGACCAAAGCGGGTACTGCCCAGGGGACCGTGTCGCTGCCGAACCCGCCTCCGCCTACCACGGGCACTGCCGGTGCGGCCAGCTCACCCGTTCATGGGGCCGGCATGGTCGGCGTAGAACTGATCCCTAAGGCTGGAGTTTCACAGGCGGTCGAGGCTCTAATCGCTCGGAGGCCATCGTTCAAGGAGTACCTGAAATGGTTCGGGGATCAGAATCAGAAAACCCCGGAAATCCCTCCGACGCCCAGCAACCAAGCGGTCGACCAAGGAGCAGAGGTAGCAAACGTCATGGCGGCGGCTGCAGGGCCGAGCGTCACAATGGGGGGGACGTCTATGTGGGGAATGGTGGAAGAGGCCGGCGGGGTGGACCCCGACATTCTCGCCAGTATCGTGATGCCAGACCCCAAAATCGAGGTCATGCGGGAGAAACTACAATCAACAGCTCCCACTGTGGGAGAAACTACACCAGCCGCCTCGTCTGCACCTGCGGAGGACCCTAGCACGACTCGCGCCAAATCCCCCCCGGCCACAACCGGTGAGGTCGGCGACGGGAAGCAAAAGCGCAAGGGCAAGGCAAAGGCCAGCTCTTCCAAGGGGACGTCTAAAGCGTCCACGCCGGGTCGGAAGGGTTCAGGTGTCCGCGTTGACAAGGAGACGGGGCTGGCCGTGTCGGAGTTGAAGTTTGGGAAGAAGAGCCGTTACATTTGCCGGTCAATGGACAAGTCTGAGGCCGCCTACTGCATCGCGGTCGCTGTTTCATCGTTCGACGGCTACGTGAGCGACGTGATTCTCGTTGATTTCAGTGGTGTCAAGGAGGATGTGATGGAGCAGTAGTCAGACTGGAATGTGGTTCGATTGATTCCGGGCGGCATGTGGACGGTCATGTGGAGCCGAGGTGCAAACGTCTTCCGCGACAGGTAAGCTTGGCCAAGTGCTCAATTAAGTGCTCGTTTCGGTCGGTATGCGTGGGTCGGTCAGTGACGGTGGGTCGTGCTGCTGTGTTTCGCAGGTTCCAAGAGGTGGTCGCGGAGTACAACAGGATAACCGCCGCCGACCGCGCAGTTCTCATGGTAGCTCTTCGTCCGGCGGTGTGGTTCAGCGACCTTCCGGAGTCGACCAAGGACGAGAAGGCCGCAAAGAATAAGATGGCGAGTGACATGATCGCACGTGCTTCGATGTGTGCCGCCTTCGCACCTGTGGCCAAAAAAGTCACGCCCATCCCGGGCGTCAAGTCGGAGCTGTTATCCGAGATCCTCGCCGGGACTGCATGCGCGGTGTGGTACTTTTCGGAGACCAATGCCACGGCGGAAGCAACGGCCGGCAAAGGGGGGGCGGCAGCCACTGTGCTTGGAGCGTCCTCCGAGTTCGCGAGTCGGTGTAAGATCCTCATTGAGGTGGTGTTTCAACGGGCGTCGTCTCGGGAGGTCGTCGTAGGAGAGGTCGCCGACACGGTAACGAAGGACCTGCAAGGCGCTGTGCTGAGGTCGTTGCCTGAGGGCCGGGATGCGCGACCACGACGAGTTGATCGCTCGTGTCATGATCAAAAACCTCGCCTTCTGTGGAGACTGTTGTGTCGGCGGGCCTATACTAAAAGCTCGCGGCATAGTTTTGCCTATTGACGCCGAGATGAAGACGATTGTTCGGGACAGGGGGGCGAGGGGGCAGCACAAAGGGAAGCAGGCGGCTAACGCATAGGTCGACAAACGCTGGCGCGACTGCTGTTGTCATGGTTGGCGTTTGTGCAAACGCTGCAGGCTCTCTGACGAAGACCTAGCAGGCACTCCGACTTTGGTTAGGGTCGCTTGTACGTGTTGTTGTGTAGCTCTATTTTGCCTCTCCTGTTTAGCGATTTTGAACATGATCGTCGGTTTCATTGTGAAGTCGGTTTGATGCATTTACAAGAGACATAAAATTGAACAACTAGTCGGTCAAACATTGGCAAAAGTAAAAAAAAATCAATGTCGTTTCACAAGCACTAGTCGGACACCCACGGCCCACCTTCAGCCCACCCTAAGCCCACCCTCAGCCCGCCCTCAGCCAACCCTCAGCCCACCGTCAGCCCACCCTCGGTTGCACCACCCTCAGCCCGCCCCACAAGTCGAACATGGACGGACTACCCTCAGCCCGCCCTCTTGCGTTTCCCAGTGCCGGAGCTCTCCGCCCTTGCTCCCGCGGTCGCCTCAGCCTCCAAGCCGACCTTCTCAGCCTGTTCCTCCCACAAGTCACCGAAGATCTCCTTTCCCCATTCAGGGTCGGCATAGCCCGCCAAGACAACGCCCCACGCAAAGGCCAGCTTCCTGTACTGCGGCTTGTCCAGAACCTTGATGCCGGTCTGCTTTCCGTCGGCTGTGGTGGGGACCTTCATGGGCGTGGTTGCACGGAGTACCACGAGAGCGACGCTGAAAGTAGAAAGACCCACCCACCCTAGGTGGTCGAGTAGCTTGACCATGGCGGTGGTGTCAGCGTCGTTTTTGCTCCGCCGCAAGAGGTGCACGGTATCCATGATCCGCTTCATCCGGCGCGTGGAGGTCTGCAGCGCATAATTTTTCCCCATCTCTCCCACCTTGGTCGTGGGACAATCGCCGGTCGGCATTTTTCGGCCACGAGAGTTCTTCGCCGATTTCGTCGACGCTGCAGGTTTCTCGGCCTTCTCAACCTTGCAGATCATGCGCGTGTGTCTGACGAGGAATCTGGGCTCCTCGTAACATTCGCGCAAAGGCCGCTCGTCCACGTGCGACGGGTTGTTCCACCAGCGCCAGGCAGCCTCGAATGTCTTGGACGTGCGCCAGGGATGCGCGACGTTCACCTCTTATGTGAGTTTGTCATCCTGCTCCTTCTCGATCTTGACGGCCGCTGCCTTCTCGGCATCGGTCATCGGCCTTGTGGTCGACGGCGCAGTCGGTGTCGGCCGTGCCTCGGCCAACTTGAGAGCCTGCATCAACCTCGCGATCTCCGCATCCTTCTCCTCCAACTGCTTCTGCATCTCAAGCTTCTCGATCGCAGAATCCTCCCTCTGGCGGTGCAGCATCATGGTGAGCTGGTCAACCTAGAATTCGGCGTCGACTCGCGCACTAAATTCCTGCGATGCAGGAGGGATGGGCGGCAAACGGTCAGCAAGTGAAGGCGGACGAATTGTTTGGGCGCCGGAACCCCCGCATGCCGTACCTCTTGGGGGTTCTCGGCCGGAGTACGGCGCGTGTTGATGGTTTCGAGGTCCACCCGGTTGACGTCCTTGGCCCATTTCTGGAAGTCAGGGTTGCGGCAGAGCTTGGAACTCTAGACGTACGGGTGCCACGGCTCGCGCATCAGCATGCACGCAAGTTCCTCGGCGACGATGCGGCGACCGAACTCAATGAGCGATTGCAGGAAGTGCAGCCCGTCCGTGTTGGGTTCCTTCCCCGTGGCGCACTTTTCCGCCTGAGAGACGAACACAAATAGAAACACAATCAACCGTCGGTGGAATGTCAGCATGGAAATGGGTGGCGGGTAGTCGGCGCTTCTGGTGTGTAAATTGCTCACTTGGGCCAGTTCCGCTTCCGCCCACGGAAAGATATGCTGGGCGATGAGGGCCACCACCTTGTCGTCGGGCTTTACCATGCTGCGGCCGAGGTGGTAGTCACCGCGCTTGCCCATGTAGCCGGCCTTTCTTAATATCGCTGCCTTCGGAATGGTCGTGATGTAGCTCTTCGCAAGCTTGTCGAGTGCCCAGTGGCCCAAGTCGGCGATGTCAGATCGCGGAACGCCATCGTCGGCCAGCTCCTGTGCCCCACCTGCCCGGGCGGCGTGGGTGTTGCGCGTGATGAAGATCTTGTTCGTCCGCCACATCTCCTTCGTGATCCGAGAATGCGATGAAGCCGGCAGCTGTTTTTGTATCTTGTCGTTCCGAGCATGAAAGAGGTGCTTGTGGTACCACATGTACGGAGTACTGAAGTCGAGGGGTGGCACAAATCGAGAGGTGGGCGAGCGGCTCAGCTGGTCGTAAACGAAGTGGAGCCACAACAGTGTGTGGCCGACGGCGCACATCTCCTCCTCCAGGTGTCTCGCCGCGTAGCTGTGGTGCAGATGAGCATCCTTGTTCTTCTTAAAGTTTCGTGACACGACGACCATGACAACCGGTCATCGCGTGGAGTGCTCGGGCGTCGTGCTCCCCATTCTGTACAAGAACAAATCGGGGAGCTTGATCGATCGGAGGCTGGCTCCGCGGAGAAGGGTGTGGTGACCCAGGAGAGTCATCGACTTCATCAGCAAGAACTTCCACAGCGTTTGGGAGGGGGAGACCGCCTTGGGTTTGTACGCCCGTGCCGCCCAGGTCGGCAGCACCTTGAACATGAGGTGGCAGATCTGGTCGGTGGTGTACGTGTCGCCGAGCGTTCCGCGGTGCCGGTCGACGCAATCCCTGCACATCACTTTCGACGAGGACAGGGTTAGCTCAGCGAACGGGAAACTTGCGTGAACCGCGCAGGACGACGTGCGGACTTACCTGTCGTCCCTGTGCCACTTCTCCCTGACCATCGCGAACACCTCCGAGCGGACCTCGGAAATGTCGTGCATGATGTGGAGCTCCTTAACCCCGAAGAGCGTCCCCTCGACCTTGCAGGCCGTCTGGAGCGCTTTGATGCGCATGAGCAGCATCAAAACAGTTGTCGCCTTCAGGGGCTAGACACGGACCTCGGCTTTCAGCTCCTCGAGCTCCGCGGCCTTTGCAATACCCTTCTGCCTCGCGATTGACAAAATGTACGCCCTGATCCGCGTGGCGTTGACGCGTGGACCGTGCATCCAAATAAGGTCGTCCTTGTTGGTGTACCACAGATCACCCATGTCGTCGTCGATGTACCTTCCTATCTCGTCCTCGTGCTCCAGCACGCCGTCCCCCTTGATCCTGGCGGTTTTCTGTCTTGGAAGTTCCTTACAGCACCATCTCTTGAAGTCGAGCAGCGCCCGCAGGTACTGAAGGCGGGTCATTCCCACCTCAAGCGTGTCCAGATGCCGCATACCCCAGACCATCCTCAGCAATCTATTCTTCTTGGCGAGCTCTTTGTTGATGTCGAAGGCGGCTTCCGCAAAATCGTCGTGCGGGATGTTTTGCAGGAAGTCGTCATATTTTTCGTCGGCTGCCAACAAATCCTCTATGGTCAGGTACTCATGTCGTTTTCTGGAAATGGGCCAATCGGAGGCGGCTGCTACGTGGCCGAAGGCGCCTCCGGGTCTGGCTCCGGTTGGGGAGCCCCTTTCGTCCCTGGCGGTAGGGGGATGGTCGGGTCGGCGGGAATATTTTCCCTAGCGGCGTCTACATCCACCACCAAGTAAGGCTCGTTGAGGTCGGGAATCGCCCTGTTCACCGCCAGCGGCGTGACGCCTAAAATTGTTCCCGTCGGCATCTAGTTGTTGCTGCGGTCTCGCGGCGGTAGGTGTTCCGCCGTCCAAAGGCGATACTGCACAATCGCTGCCGTGTATTGCCTTTGCACCGAGGCCCTAAAGGCGGCCCTCTCAGCGATCGTTAACTCTGCGGCAATGTCGGACAGTTTGGGAACTTCGGGCAGCGAATTAGTGCTCTGCGGGGTGTTGTTCGGCGTGGTTGTGGTCGGCGGGGTAATGGTCGGCGGGGTAATAAGTGGAGTGGTGTCGTTCGGCGGGGTGTTGTTCGGCGGGATGTTGTTAGACTGGTCCCTGGCCATTCGAGGCCGTCCTGGGGATTAATGGCGACGACGATTCTGGTTCAAGCTACGAAGAAAGAAGTTGGCCACGTTCGGATGTTGTCGACCTAGCTAGTCGTCCTAGCCTAAAACCGCGAATGATCCAAAGTCGGAAGCCCGGCGAGTTTGCCGACCTAAACGCACCCTACACCGGTGTGGCTCGTCGTCAACCCTGCACCACGCGAGGTCGGTCAGTCTCAGAGAAGCATGAAAATGACTAAGGGAATGAATGCAAGAGCGTTGCTTCCTAGAATGGAAGTGAATGGAACGCAACAAACAAGAGACGAAATGGCAAAGACATGTGTTGGCCGTCGGTGGGTCATAGCAGAGAGTGCCACCGTCGTGGTTCGGGCGGACAGGTGTTGGCGGGCGATCCGTGGTCGAGGTCTCCAACCCTTCATGCACGGCAGAACGGCGGCACTCTGGACGACGTGGCACGGTGCACGCATGTGTCTTTCGCAGCCGACTTTCAGGTGTTCCTGTCACGCTGATCGTGCTTACACGTCGGCGTGACACAGCAATGCTCATCGCGTCGCCCAAGGATGGTATCCCGCGAGCATGTTCCCGCCAACAGGCCGATGAAGGTTTGGTCGCCGCGTGGACAGGTGCCCACCGAACGATGTTTGACGCATGGAATGTTCTGTTCGGATGGGCGACATCTGGCTCTGCGCGCCAGAGCAGTGGTCGGCCAGGAATTGAGGTGGGCCTCACGTCGCAGTCTGCGCTGATGGCAAGAAGGACGTCGTGGCATGCTGGCCACGACCGACGGCATCAACGTTTCGACCTCGTACGGAGGTTGCGTTGAGAGGTGCCATCGGGGTATCCCTGCAGCCCGCGCGTCGCCCTCTGCAGCCCGTGCGCCGCCCCTGCAGCCCGCGCGTCGCCCCTGCAGCCCGCGCGCCGCCCCTGCAGCCCGCGCACCGCCCCTGCAGCCCGCGCGCCGCTCCTGCAGCCCACGCGCCGCCCCTGCAGCCAACGCGTCGCCCTCTGCAACCTGCGCGTTGCCCCTGCAGCCCGCGCGTCGCCCCTGCAGCCCGCGCGCTGCCCCTGCAGCCCGCGCGCTGCCCTCTGCAGCCCGCACGTCGCCCTCTGCAGCCCACGCGCCGCCTCTGCAGCCCGCGCGCCGCCCCTGCAGCCCGCGCGTTGCCCCTGCTGCCCGCGCGCCGTCCTTGCAGCCCGCGCGCCGCCCCTGCAGCCCGCGCGTCGCCCTCTGCAGCCCGCGCGCCACCCCTGCAGCCCGCGCGCCGCCCCTGCAGCCCGCATGCCGCCCTGCTGTCCGCGCGCTGACCCTGCCTGGCCGCGCACCACCCTTCCCTGACCGTGCGCCGCCTCGCCCTACCTTATGCAGTACCCTAGTGCATGTCTGCCGCCCTTCCTTCACTGAGTCTTGCCTTGCTGGTCGCACGTCTCCTTGCTTTGCCCGCTATGACTTCTCTTCGTGGTAGCGGTGGGAGTGGTGGCGGCAGTGGTGGCAGCAGTGGGAGTGGTGGCGGCCGTAGTAGCAGTCGCTGTGGAGCTGTTCGGTGGGGAGTTTCTGGCGGTGGCCAGTTGCAGCGGCGTCTGCGCGAGACCCTTCCACCCCAGCAGCTACGTGAGTGGTACGCTAGTAGGAGTTGTGGTGGCGGCAGTAGTGGCAGTCGCTGTGCAGCTGTTCAGTTGGGAGCTTCTGGCGATGGTCTGGTGCAGCTGCAGCAGCGTTTGCGTGAGACACTTACGCCCCAGCAGCTTCGTGAGTGGTACGCTCAGCGTGGGGCGCCTCGGAGTAGTGCTCGATGCCCATACGTCATTCGCACAGGTGATCGGGCTGGTCAGACTTGCGGGACAATTGGTCATACACAGTCCTACTGCTTCTCCTATCTGAGCGACGCCTCTCGCGCAGACCCGACGCGGCTGAGCTCCCCCGCTGGCTAGAGCTGCTTAGGAAGGGTGTGGATATTTTTGCTCTAAACTATGACGCTATCCTCACTGCCATGTATGATTTGTCTATTGGAACTAAGGGTGACTGTAACCTGTGTGTGCCACCCGACCCTGGTATAGAGGCTACTACTCTAGGTGCTGGTGAGTCTGCTCTCTCTGGTACTGCGCCTGCTGAGGCCTTGCACACCTTCACACTTGACTCAGGTGCTTCCCGCTAATTCTTTCGCGACAACACCACACTCACACCACTCGCAGCACCGGCTGCAGTCTCTCTGGCTGACCCTTCTGGGGGACCGGTTCTTGCACGTTCCTCCGCTGTTCTTCCGTGTCCGGCAGTCCCCTGTGGCTCACTAACAGGTCTTCACCTCCCTTGTTCTCTACGAACTTGGTGAGTAACGCCGTCCTTCAGGATGCTTGGGTTGATACATTTACCCCTGGAGGACAGCGTGTGGCGATCTGCACGTGTGCACGGACGGGCCGTCACCTGGCCACGTTCACCCGTCGACCTGGGTCGAGCCTGTACACACTGACTACTGAGCCTCCTCAGGTAGCTGCGTCTGCATCCGCGTCAGGTCAGCTAGCAGCCCCCTGCTCGTGTCGCCTCCTGTCGCACCAGACTCTCCTTTGGCACCAACGCCTTGGTCATCCCTCCCTGCCACGCCTCCATGGCATGCACTCCCGCCTCCTTGTCTCTGGTCTTCCCAGGTCCTTGCCTCCCCTCCCACCCTTGCCTGCCCCTCCCTGCCTTCCCTGTGTCGAGGGGCGGCAGCGCGCCGCTCCTCACTCCTCCACGTTTCCCCCGACGACTGCTCCCCTGCAGACTATCCACATGGACGTGTGGGGCCCAGCCCGCGTCTAGGGACAGGGCCGCGAGCGATACTTTCTGCTGGTTGTTGACGACTATTCGTGTTACACCACGGTCTTCCCCTTGCGCAGCAAGGGGAAGGTCCCTGATGTCTTGATCCCTTGGATTCGCGCTGTCCGTCTCCATCTCCGCGAGTGGTTCAATACGGACCTTCCTATCCTACGTCTACACTCTGACAGAGGTGGTGAGTTTGCCTCCGACCTCTTGCGGGACTTTTGTCATGGGGAGGGCATCCTCCAGTCGTTCACGCTTCCGACCTCTCCGCTGAAAAATGGGGTTGCTGAGCGCCGCATTGGCTTAATCATGGAGGTCACTCGTACCTCCATGATCCATGCGGCTGCTCCCCATTTTCTGTGGCCGTTTGCGGTCCGGTACGCTGCGCATCAGCTCAACCTCTGGCCCCGTGTCTCCTTGCCGGAGACCTCGCCTACACTGCATTGGACGGGAGAGGTTGGCGATGCGTCGGTGTTCCGGGTCTAGGGCTGTCGTGCCTTTGTCCGCGATATCTCCATGGACAAGCTCTCCTCCCGCGCCATTCCCTGCATCTTCCTTGGATTTCCCCCTGACGCGCTTGGCTGGCAGCTTTACCACCCCACCTCGCGCCGTGTCCTGCCCTCTTAGGACGTCACGTT